GAAAAAAGTGCAGCTTTCATGACTCCTGTCAAACTGATGAATGTATGAATGTGTAAAGAAGATGGGGGCAGTCGGTGCATCTGGGGTCATGTTTGAAAATGTAAAGCGGGGGGGGTGACTCTCTTGTTTATCAGATCAGATTGGTGAAATGTTTTTCAGTGAAGCTTGTGGATTCAGTTTTTGTTCAGAGTCTCATAGAGTTTAAGGCTTTAAAACTGAGGGACAATACTCAAGGGTTCCCACTGATGAAGAAGAGACTCTGATGCACAGGTTGTCAATTCATGTCATGATGGAGTTGTTGATTTCCCTCCAGGGTTGAAACCACAAGCACTTAAACATAACTGATCCATGTCAGAGAGCCACCTGTGGGTAAGTCCTGCGGATCAGGCGACATATCCCACTTGAAAACATAGAACCTGTTGCATTGTGTCGGTGATTTGTGGTCAGCTTTGGAGTGACAAGCAGTTTTCTTTATGCAGTCAAAAAATAATAATACAACAAGGGGCGAATCCCAAGGCGGACTTTAGGAAACAATAACTTGTTATCCCCATTTAAACCGAAATCAGATTGCAGGTCTTTTCAGGCCAGCCTCTTTGTACGCTGCCTGTGTCTATGAAACCCTCTGTGCAGTGTAATGGGTTCATGGCCACGGGGCAAGGGTTACAGTTTGTCCTTCCTGCAATTAGCATTCACGGTTAGCTTAGCAGAACTAATGCACCACATCTTTGAGGCTCAGGTTCCCTGTGTGCCTCCGAGTGTCTGCGGGCGAAATTTAACTGACTCCCTGTATCCATTTCAACCTGCTTTATGAAATGTTTTTGGCAAAATCCCCCCGAAGAATATAATTTCAAGCCAACTATTATCCGCCAATTAAGTTTAGGAGCATCAGAGGAGGTGGGAGATGAACTTACCGAACGTGTTATATAGTCACAAGAATATTAACACAATGGTATGAAATATAACTCACAGATCAATATGGGCCATTTCTCCTCTATTGTCAGTCTGTATTTGGTTTGGTTTATATATATATATAATCACATTTATGTATCATTTAAAAAAAAGCCATTATTCTGTCCTTTCTGTTTGTTTTGCCTTGTGACATTTAGGTCACGACACTGTGATCTCACTGCAGTTCTCAGCACACAGGAACATGTACACCACAGCTATTGTGGAGGCGGCTGTGGGCCGTGGGGATCTCATGGGTCTTAAGTGACACCTTCTCGAAACAAAACGAAGCAGCTCGGAGCCGTTCTCTGCTATTGGCTTTGTCCGCATTGTGTAATATTACATAGTTTATATATGAATCCGTGGACGTTTATGTAGGTTGACTGCAGCATTGTTTGGGAACTATAGCGAAAATATGTAGGTTGCAATGAGGATGGTGGGAGTGAGTGCATGCTCTTTTTAAAGTAGGAGAGTGAAATGACAACCGACATAATATAACATAACATATAGTATTAAAGCATAACATTACTGCATATTATACCATAGCATAACGTAATGTAACATAGCATAGCATAGCATAACATACTGGTAACATATAATTTCATATCATACATAACACAACATATTATAGCATAACATAACATATCATAATATATTATAACATTATATACTGCAACATAACATGGCATAGACACTAAAGGTAAATTCAACAGGAAAAAATAATGTTTAACAATAACAATCCTTATTGTGATTTTACTCCCCTAATTTTCAAAAACATGCACTCACTTATTACAACCTTAATATTATTTTCTTGTGTAAAAATCTAAGAACAAGGCAAACCTACACATAGTGCAAAATGTTGCAAGAATATCTTTTTTTGACTCAGGAACTTAAAGCTCCATGCATAGTGAGTTAATGATAACTGGATGTGCATAAATACAAGTGAGAATTTGCTTTTCAAAAAGACATAAACCCAACAAAATGCAAAAATATGAGATAAATTATAAAACATTACTTAGTAAATGAAAGTACAACATGCAGGGACAAATCTATGTTATTGAATACAAAACACATTGTTTCCTAAGTGCATCCTGTCTGAGTGATCAGTGCATTACAGAGCGAATCAATGACACAAAAAGGAGGTGCTTTCATAAACAGTTTTTGATTATTGGACATTATTAACTTTTTCTGAATTCAGTGAAGTGAAACACTGTGTTGTCCCATCGACTCAAATGCAGATTAAGCAAACTAATGTGAGCGCAGGGGATCAATGCATTCGTCCAGTGATGTCTCTGTGCGTGGAACAGCGATGCATTGAGAAGTCTGGCCCTAATTCATCATCATCCACACATTATATTATTACTGATGGCTCTTGCCTCTGGCTAGTCCATTTGTTTTTTTCAGATTTGTGACAGGCAGCAGAGCGCCGGGCGGAGGTTTATTCTGCAGCCACGCCAGCAGCCCTCTATTATTTATCTATTGATCATCATACCTCCCAATAATCTGCCGCCTGACACGTTTGACAACATTATGTGGAGCAGGTCAAAGGACAATGCTAATGAAACTGAATGATGGATGTTAGTATCCACAGCATTAACCTTGCTAATAGTTGCCACAGACAGCACATGTACACACACATTACGGCAGTCCTGCTGAGCCTGCTGGGATTTCCATGAAAATAAAGAGCCCAGCATTCAATGAGGCAGTCCAGAGGCATGTGCAACAGAGATATAATAAATCATCACATGGTGTTGAAGATCAGCTTTACCAAAACATAGAGAGATAAATACAGAACAAAGCAGAGATTTGTTGGGTGATAACAATCGTTATAACAGAATTTAAACTTCCACACACGTACAGTATGTTAACTTGTGTAGCATCAGCTTTTAGGCTTGTGTCTAATCAGTCATCTGCAAAGAGTGAGCCAAGGAGATCCAGAAACAAAACAGTTCTATCATGAAAATGTTGAGAAAGAAAGCCACACCCCTCCCAAAAAAATTCATGAAAAATGGTCGAGTATCTTTTGTGTAATCCTGCAAAAAACAAGCTCCTTGCTGGAGGTGATAACTTGAAAGATAATGTGACTTGAAATTATGTGGAATTGTGTATTTCTTTGACAAGAGAATGCAATTTGTCATTTGTAGATAATGTAAGATAGTTGTTTTGACTCAGAGCATCAAGAGAATCAAGGAAGCTTCATCTCATTCACTCCTGCATCTCTTCTGTTGACCTGTGGTGCTTTTGAGAATTGCCCATGTATTCATTTCTTTTTAATGACTAGCCATTTAAAATGTTCCTGCTTTATTTTGGTGTATTCTGGTGAAGTGAATGAATCCACATTTAGCAGAGTGTTGATGATACTCAGTACTTCATTCTGAACATCTGTAAGAAGTGACAAACATTCAATCTCTCATGAATCCTGCAGCTTTGTTGTCGTGCTGAAAAGTAGAATAGAGTCTGGTGGGTTTTATAAGAAGGACCTGTCTCCTTTTTTCATTATGTTGCAGTATTTAAACTTTGTACAGTTGTAGATTGCTCTGAAATATTTGTTTTGCCAAAAAGGGAATATCATTACTTACTTTCTAGGTGTAAAGCAGATTTGACCTTTTTTAAATTTGTGTAAACTTTGAGTCTTAACCTGCAATAAAAGTCAATCATCTATTCAGAAGAACTACTTCTATAAAACTGATGGATTTAAAGCCAAGAATAGTAAAGTGACGTTCAGGATTGTTAGCTGCTGAATATTATTTCACTGACAGTTTCCCCACTTACAGTAAACACAATCTCATCTCTAGGGCCCTTTACTGACAAAACAAGGCTGCATCTCAGAAAATATTAGTTAAGAAGAGCGCGTTGACCTCAGAACCTTTGAGCTCGTCGAGCTGAAGCAGCAAAACCTCAGATGAGGAGTTTCTGTGTTTGTCAAGCAGGTGAAAGAAAGTGTTGCAAACATTTCACAGAGACGAAACAAACCGATGTCCCCGGGTAGTGACCCACATGAATACGATGCTGCGGTGGTGCAGGATTTCCAGCTGAATGGCTGAGGCTCATTCCTTCGCGTATGTCATTCGAGAGCCGCCCGTCACTCGTGTCCAGGGTGCTCTACGGTTTGCAAAGGAAAGTTCAGACTGGTCACCTGACCTGACAGACCTAGGACTGTGCCGGATGGCAGGAGGTCAGAGTTGGACACCTGGATTTATTGCAGGGTCGAGACTTGTCATTCTTCACTAACTGTATTGGCCAGCAAGTACCAAGTCTTTCTATATGCCAAATCATGCAGTCTACAGATGGGTAGAACGTGCATCTATAGGATACATGACATGTTTACTACAGAAGAAATCAACTTATTTACAGCTGATTGTGTTTTACTATAGATTTACTTAAAACTCGATATCCGGGAGGATTTTAACAGAACCCTCATTGATTCACTTTCCAGAGGAATCGCTGCCTGGATCAGTTTACCTTGTTACCTTGTCACACTATGTTCTGGTCTGATCTCCATGTCCATTTCCGCTCAGCGCAGCCCCCTCACCCCTCAGTCGCCACCACGCCGCCCAACAGAGCTGGCTTTGTCCCTGTGGCCGGTCATCCATTTCTAATCTCCAGTCTTTTTTACCGCTCTGGAGACGTACCGCATGCTTTCAAAGAGCAGAGTGAGCCGTTCACGCATGCCCTCCCATTTCCCAAATGAAGCTCGGAAGAAACCTCGTGACCCCAGTGGCGAGAAATGACTCAATATTACAAATCGTCTGCACCATTCAGATCTGGAAATGGAACAAACCTGGGAGAGACTACCTTAATTCACAAATTGAGTAATCTAGAATGGCACTGAGTAGAGCGTGTACCTCCACCAACAGTCACAAAACGTCCTGGATCTTCCCCTGAACCAGAGCCACAATAAAATCTGACCCATAACACATCCTTCCACCGAGTTTCGTGCTAATTTGTCCAGTAGTATTTGCGTAATCTTGTTCACAAACTAAACAAAACAAGGGATGAAATAATTACTACTAGAAGCAGTGAATCATTAAATCTGTTTATTATGACATCAGATGGTACAAATACATGTAAACATAAAAACACATAGCTAAAAAAAACACACCAAAGAATAAAACCACCATGCACAAATCAATCAACTGAAGAGTGAGTTTAGCAGCCGTGCTTCTTGAGTTGATGCTGAAAGTGCTTAAAGTTTATTATTTAAATGAACAAATTATTCATTTGAATATATTGCAAAATGAAAATATAGTAAATCCTGCAAAACAGTAACTTCCTCCTCGTCCTAGATCACCTGACAAAACTGTTAAAGTACTGTTGTAAAAACTGTTCCTAAGAATCCAGGGGCCACTAGAGTGGAGCGTGTCGTCCACTAACGGGAAGGTTGGAGGTTCGATCCCCACCAGAGTGTGTGAGTGACGTGTGAACATTTTTAACTGTATTCAAGTGTGTGAATGGCAAAAATAAAGACCTTTGGTAAAAGCGCTGTATAAATACAGACCATTTACCATCAGTATTTAAGTTTAAATCCGCAAATACAATCAATTCATTAAAAACACTTTTACAAATCCAAGCACTGCTGACCGACATATCAAAACAACCAGAGTCTGAACAATGTTCTTTATACTGGTGCAAACAACACAGGGCTGCTCGAACAACTTCCACTGATCTGCCCCTCAGGTAAAACGGTAAACAGACGTTTGAAAAAGTGAGGAGTTTGAGTACAGTGTAATGATGTTTCAGGTAGAGAGATGCCATGTAAAGAGATACCATCAACACAGAGAGCCCCCTCTATTGCATTAACTAAAGGCACTGATATCTTGATGGAAATAACTTCATTTTGGCCACTGCCAGGCCCAGTAAATACAATTGCTAGCTGTTAGCGCAGCTGTGTAAGCCTGGTAACTGATGGAAAGTGACTCAGACACAGTTATGAATGGTGCTGGTGGCCGCGCCTGTGTGCACTCGAATGCGTTATCATCTCCTCCGCGCGGTCGAGCATATTAATAAAGCACCTTACAGTAACACGAGGAAACCTCACCGTAAATCACCTCCCATTTAACCCAAGGAGGCAGACACACGCTCGGGCCCCTCATTGTACCAGAGGCTGCCTGTTTTTTTTTTAACTGCCACAATTAACACATTAAACACTTCAATCCTGAACTGATGTGACACAATCAGTTAAAAATAATGACGAATTAATGGGCGGTGTAAAGTGTGGGCTAGTCCTAGAAATCCACAACAAGAGAAAGTTAATCAGGCTAATTGTCTGAAAGCATCTTCATTAACATAATGTTGCCAGAGAGGATCAGATAATCAGGAAAATTGGCAAATAGGGCTTTTTCTTTTTTTTTTCTTCTTTCCTTTATCTCAATAAATGAAGACATTCAGAGCTCGTACTATATTACAAAATACAAACACCGCATAGTAAAAGGCACTCCGTAAAACATTGAGTTTTTTTTGTTGCATCTGAATATTTGCTGTCATGGCGATCGTCTTTATTAACCACACATACACGCACAGTCATATGCTGAGGTTGATGCTGTGAATGGTGCTTGCTGGGATTTTGGCGTCTGCTTCCTCCCCGCTGATCCTGAAGATCACAAAGGTGTTGGAAGGGATGGTGGTAGTGGCGCCCAGGGATTTACCCAGCCAGCCGTGAGATCCACGCTTGTACATTTTAACTGTTACCTGCAGAGAAGGAAAGAGAAATGGAAACAAATATATAGATTCAAAACTATTTATTGAAAGACTTGGTCTGATCTTCACGTGTCTGATACAAGGTGATTTTCAGGGCTTTCCCTGGGGTCATGATTCTGACTCAGACCTCCTGACCCTGGGTTAAAGTGAAGCAGACGCTCATGACTTTCACCTTTGACCGATACAGGCTGCTGCCTTGTCTGTGGGCCTGTAGACTCACAAGTATTAATCATAGCGTTGAAATACAAACTGGCATCGATCAATTTTAAAGTTTCATTCAAACTTTGACCTCACAATAATGTCTTCATCCGTTTTATCTGGCAAAAAAAGATGAACTTGAAAAATGAGTCAATCAATGAGCAAATTTGCTGCAAATTCATTTTCAGTCAACTAATGAATTAAAAGACAGATTTTTTCCAGGTATATACTTGTTGTGCAGATTTGTTTTAGCTTGAATATCTCAGTAGTTTTCTATTGGGCTGAATATTTGACACGACGAAGCAAATCAACTCCCCCTGCATTGATTGTATCTTAGATTGTCAAATTAACTATCAAATGTCCCCTGAGCTGCAGAAATGTTGAGCGCCTGTGTTGGAGAAGTGATGCAACAGCACCCTGAAACAGAATAAATATTAAATTAACCTCGTTCCCGCTGTGAGCTTTTTTAATTCCCCTCCACATATTGAATGGAGTCATACCTCTCTTGATTTTATGTAGGTTGTAGGGCATAATACGCTTTAACACTACATCAAATCTGCCTGTTATGTTTGAGCCGGACAATGGAAGCCTTAACTAGATTTAGACATGCAGGTAACTGAACTACATCCATTTCAAAAAGAATGCCTCGCCACATCTCTTGTTTGGCTGCATTTACAGGGGATAACAGAATATTACAGTGCCTTTTCACAGCTCCATTTTCTTTCACTTAAGCATTAGGCAATTTTTCAATTATGATTTTTTTCCCCATGTTCTTTCATCCCCGGCTCTCCATAATGTCTGGGCCTTTTAGTTAATGGTAGTGACAGTCAGAGCCCAGTATATCGGCCCTTGTCCATTTCGCAGGTCATTGTGGAAGCCCAATAGGCCTTTTATTACGCCGACATCAAAAGGCAGATAAGCATTAGAGGTGGGGAAAATACCCTGCACTAGATATGTTCCCTCTTTCCTTTGTCTGCTATTGAAAGTGATCATTTTAATAGTGAAGAGGTTGCTGAGCTTTGGGGCTGATGGGGAGTGCGACACCCCTGACAGCCTGCGAATATGAGCAAGTCGGCAACACAACACAAGCGCACAGCACACCCCTCAACACCTGCACACTCTTGCTGCTAACCTAATTATCTGCAACAAAGGCCACTGCGATTTCAGACTCACATCTTTTTCACCATTTACTTACTTATTAGCGTGCATTAAAACAGGGAGAAAAAGGAGGGGGGGGGGAAAAACTAAACAATTGTGTCTTGTAGTGAAGCCTTGGCCGAACGCCACATGGCTTTTATTACAAAAGCATCAGACACTTCAGAGTGAGTGAGTGTCTATTAATTTGGGATGCATGAAAAAAATGGCTTCATGACAGCTGGTGGCAGAAGCACGTAAACCAACACAAAAACATCCGAGAGGAATTATTCTAACAAATCCTAGATGGACTTAATAGTTGGTAATCAGCAATTAAATCATTTAATGGAAGTGAAGTTGAGTAATTCCATCTTTGTGGTGCAGACACAATAGATGCTCTGCATCATATTCAAGCCGCGACAGAAGTAGAACTATGAAACACACACACACACACACACACACACACAC